CTCTATGATGCAGTTAAAAATGTTAAATTGAGTTTTTTTTTTTTTTTTTTTTTTTTTTTGTATTTTTTTTTTTTTCTATTTTTTTAACTCTTTATCTATACACAAATACATTGTATGTATTTGTATTGTATACAGATAGATAAGAGTTTATATGATGGTATTTTCTCTATTCGTTGTTTTTGTTCTATATATAACACTATGTATACATAGTTGGTTGGGCTTGATTATTTTGTCAACAATTTTTAGGTATTGCATGTATTTTTTTTTGTAGTTATATATATATATATTTATATATACACTCACATATATATATATATAAAAGTTTCAATTAAATAAAAAAAAAATATATGAAAAGATGAAAACAAAACAAATTACAATCAATGATTTATTTTATTTGAGGTTTAAAAAGTAGGCTTTGGAATGGATCATAGTCAATAATACCCAAAAAGAGTATAATTTTATTTGATCTACATCAAGTAGTAGATTTAGGCTTTAGATAGGTTGATCATAGTCAATAATATAAAGGAGTATATATATATATATTACTTCGTTCACATTCATTCATTCATCAATCAACCAAGATCAAAGCAAACGAAAAAATTTTTTGTCGTATAATAAATTTATACATTTATAAAATTTTTAAAAAAATGTGCAATATATATTATATATAAAAAAAAAAGGAATCCAAATATATATATATATTATATATATAAAAAATTTTTTTTTTTTTAAAGGAAAATATAAAAATTTTTTTTATTAATATAATAATAAATATAAATTATTATATAAACATATTAAAAAAAAGCACAAATTTATTTTTTTTAAAAAAAATGATTAATGAGTAGTAAAAAAAAAATAAATTCATTATATATATATATGTGTGTGTATTCTTTTCTTTTTTTGATTTTTTGATTTTGGTTGATGAAATTTGTTGGTTGTTTTATTAATTTATCTATTTTTTGCTAGCTTTAACTGCTGCTTTAGTTGTCTTGCCGGATTTTTCAACTTTTTCAACACTCTATTTTAACAGAATAAGAAATATTAATAAGGATTTCCTTACATTGTGATTATCATCATCGTCGTCATTATTATTATTAATTTAAAAAATTTTTTTTTTACCTTAATGACACCGACAGCAACCGTCTGTCTCATATCTCTTACGGCAAAACGTCCTAGAGGTGGATAATCAACAAAAGCTTCGACACACATTGGTTTAGAAGGAATCATTTTAACGATAGCAGCGTCACCAGATTTAACGAATTTTGGATTATCTTCGAGTTTTTTTCCGGAACGACGATCAATTTTTTCTTGTAATTCGGCGAATTTACAAGCAATATGAGCAGTATGACAATCCAATACTGGAGCATAACCGGCACCAATTTGTCCAGGATGATTTAAAACAATGACTTGAGCTTGGAATGAACCGGCTTCTTTTGCAGGATCGTTTTTAGAGTCGGAACAGACATAACCTCTACGAATTTCTTTGACTGACACGTTCTTGACATTGAAACCAACATTGTCACCGGGAACACCTTCGACTAATTGTTCGTGATGCATTTCAACTGACTTAACTTCAGTGGTTAAACCTACTGGGGCAAAAGTTACGACCATACCGGCTTTGATGATACCAGTTTCGACACGACCTACTGGAACGGTACCAATACCACCAATTTTGTAGACGTCTTGAAGTGGAAGACGGAGAGGTTTATCGGTAGGTCTTGATGGAGGTTCGATGGAATCAATAGCTTCCAAAAGTGTTTTTCCTTTAGCGCTTCCGCCCTTGATATCTTTTTGCCATCCTTTGAACCATCCCATATTTGGAGACTCTTCCAACATATTGTCACCGTGCCATCCGGATATAGGAACGAAAGCAACAGTCTTGGGGTTATAACCTACACGTTTGATGAAACCGGAAACTTCTTTAACAATTTCGTTGAATCTCTCCTCGGACCAGTTGGTTGTGTCCATTTTGTTTACAGCGACGATGAGTTGTTTAACACCAAGAGTGTAAGCCAAAAGAGCATGTTCACGGGTTTGTCCATCTTTTGAAATACCGGCTTCGAATTCACCAGTACCGGCAGCAATGATCAAAATAGCACAATCAGCCTATTGTCATCATAGATGTATTATAAGTGAATGTGAAGATGGTAGTGGTAAATGTAGAGAAAGGTAGAGGTAGGTGGATGTGTGTAAAAGTGGGATAAAGGTGTAGTAGTATGTGTGTTAAATTAATATTGATGTCGATGTATTATGTTTTATATACATGTGTTTGTATGTTTTATATTGATTGATACGAATTTAATTTGAATCATTTTTTACCTGAGATGTACCAGTTATCATGTTCTTGATGAAATCACGATGTCCTGGGGCGTCAATGACAGTAACATAGTATTTTGGGGTTTCAAATTTCCAAAGAGCAATATCAATAGTAATACCACGTTCACGTTCAGCTTTTAATTTGTCCAATACCCAGGCATATTTGAATGAACCTTTTCCAAGTTCAGCTGCTTCTTTTCTATTTTATTTTTTTTAATCAATTAATAATAATAATATTATTAATATAATTATAACAATGAAATTATAAGAGAAGTGATGGTAGTAATAATAACAAAAATAACACACTGTTATTTATCAATATAAATTACTTACTCAAATTTTTCTATCGTACGTTTATCAATACCCTATTATTTGATTTACAAAAAAAAAAAAAAAAAAACAATAAGAAAAAGTGATTAATCATTTATTGTTTGTTTGTTCATTTGTTAATCCATTGTCCGCAATAAAAATGTGTACATGTATGAAAAAGTGAAGATAAATACTTACACCACATTTGTAAATAAGATGACCAGTGGTTGTTGACTTTCCTGAATCCACGTGCCCAATAACAACGACATTAATATGTGTTTTTTCTTTACCCATTTTAATTTTATATATTTTTTATTTTTTGTATTTCGTTTTACTGTAAAGAAAGAAAAGAAGGAATTGTTAGTGTTAAACATTCATATTATAAAACAATAACATTGATAATAGTAATAGTAATATTCAATTATTTATTGTTCAACAAGTATGTTACTATAAAGAAACTCTTTAAAAGATAAAATACTTTATGTCTCTTTGAATACTAAAGGTCTAAAAAATAAATTAGAAAAAATTCTTTACTGCGGCTAAATTATAAAAAAAGATTTTTTTCACTTTAAAGATAAAAAAGATTTACAGATATAGATATTTAAAAATTATATTGATGGTGATGGATGATATATAATTAATATTTTTTAAAAGATAAGAGATGGATGGAAATAACAATATATATATATATACATGTATATATTATATGTAAATAAAAAGAATAATAATACTTACACTATAGCGTAAAAAATAAATAAAACGTAAAGGAGGATTCGTTACCAAAAAAAAAAAAAGAAAAAAATTTTGAGTGAAAAGAAAAGGAGGAGGAAAAAAAAAATCTAGTTTTTATCCCTAATTAAATAGCAATGTTAATTTTCCAATTAGGGTTGTTTTTTTTTTGGTATGTACCCAAAAAAAAAAAAAAAGATTTTTGAAATTTGATACGATAAAAAATTTCTTTATTAATAATAATAAATAATATTAAGATCTAGGATCATTTGTCAGATCCAAATAAAATATATATAGTATCATAATAATACATAATAATTGCAATTCAAGTTGACAATAATCATCATTGATATCATCAAATGGTAATTAATATATTAATATTGCATGTGAATTAGGGTTATATGTTTGGGAGACATCTAATTCAGAGGAAATGAAATTTTTTAGTGAACAATCAATTCAGACAATCAATTATGTCCTATCATTATTTACTATTTGACAAATTTTGACTCATCATCATCAATTGATGATATTCTCTCTCTCATATTCATCATTTCGTTTCATTTTAATTTAATTTAATTTAATTTAATTTAATTTAAATTTGTTTATTTACTTTTTTTAATTCTGCGGTGTATGACATCCAATTTCAGGGTCATGAATTGAAATAGGGTTTAAATGGAAAAATTATTATTTTGTGTGACGCAATAAAAAGGGTTTGTTTGATTTTATATATTATAATTGATTCAGTACAAGAAGCACCAGAGAAAGAAGAGGACAAAAATATTGGTATTATAATATCAATACAATTGTTCTAGATAGCATTCAAAATTAATTATTTGCAACAAAATTCCGATATAAGGTAGATAGTTCAGTAGTATCAGAAATGAGAGAGACCTATAAAGTTTTATATTTATTTTTTTTTTGATATGAAATTTGATAACTCGGTTTACTTATGGTCAATCATACGAGCCCGCCCTCGCATGACTGATTTATCGAGTTTACATAATATTAATATATGTGTTGTTGCAGTTGTGGCGTTCGAGCAATTTGTACCAAAATTATTGTTCACTTTGTACTGCACACATACAATAGATTGCAAAAATCATGTGAAAGAAACAATCACATAACTGCAGAGATTCTTTTAAAATAATGACGGAGATGTAAGGTTATGGCAAGTTAAAAAGATCAAATTAAGAAGAGATTAAAAATTGATAGCTTAATAAAACAATTGAAACTTATATTACAATTAAGAGTGATTATACACGCATACACACACACACAATACACACACATATGTATAAATGTAGATATGTATGTACATATTTTTAATTATAATGGTATTTTGAAATAATATTGTTAAAGATGAAAAAAAGAAATTTTAGAAAAATTAAAATTATTATATACAATGCTTACTTTTTAATTATTATTATATTTGTAATAAAGACAAAAAAAAATTTGCAACTAGATTTTTAAAATTTTTTTGCCATTATCCATTGGACTAGAAGCGAGATAAACTAAATCGTAACTTTCATCAATTATAGAAATAATTTTTCTATTAAGTTACCAAATAATCTAAACCAAATGCAGATGTCATGAGACGTGCATTTTATCTAAAAAATACTTGTTTTTTAACTGCAAACATAATTTATCGAGCGTTTTGTAACTTTTCCTAAATTTCGAAAAGAAATAAAAAATTTAAGGAATGAATGCTACTTCTCTCATTTAGAGCTAGTTTTTTATAGGATAAGAATAAATAATGATAGTTAAACTTGATATTGAACTTGTTCAAATGATTGAACAGTAAATGGTAGAAATATATTTGGCAAATTTGCTTATCATGTTTAATTAATATATAACTATGTGAATTTTATTCGAGTGGTCATTTTTTTTTAAAAAAAAAAAATAAAAAACCAAATAATAATAATGACTGAATACAGAGATAGGTTCATTCCCGATGAAGAAGATGACGAAAATTTAACAGTTACCCATGAAACATTTACACACGAGACAAATACGAGATCTACTGCCTCATCTCTTCCCGTTTCGTTTCTGAACGATTTTGATGGATTAAACCTCACTAGAGAACGTATGCAACGCTATGACGATGAGATATCTACTACCACATCTACAGAAACAACCACAACGTCTGCAGCTACACCTACACTCACATCTGCCATTGCTCCTGATACAGAGACCGGAGCTACTGGAGATAGTAGAAGGGAAAGAATTAGATTTAAACGAGAAAAAGCAATATTCCAAGCACTTAATAACATCGAGAGCGCATTGGAAGTCGATCTTTGCTATGTTTTAGACTGCACTGGTCTGTATCTTGTGCATTATTTGTTTCACCAGCGAATTAAATCCTACTTAAAAATTTATTATAGTTATTTATAGTTAGTTTTGTGATGAATTTATTCAGGTTCCATGGCGGGTCACATTGCTGCTACCAAAGATTGCATTTTACAGGTGACAGATTACATTAAAAATACAAATCCGTCCATTAAAATACAAGTTGGGTTTTGTGGCTATCGTGATTTCTGTGACGGCAGCAATCGCTTGCAAGTTTTTGATTTTACCGAATCACACGAAGTATTCAAAGCAAATTTAGCTACTGTAGCAGCCACGGGTGGTGGTGATGGACCAGAAGATGTTCTTGGAGGTCTTGACGCAGCTTTGAATCAAATGACCTGGCGTAATGGTACTCGGGTTCTTCTACACATTGGGGATTGTCCACCACATGGTCGTCGTTTTACCGACATGCAAGATGACCATCCAGATGGTGACCCAAACGGCTTAACAGCAGAAAGTGTACTACAAAAAATGCAATCAGAAAGCATTCTTTATTTTTTTGGAAAAATTACAGAATACACTGATAAGATGATTCAAGTATTCGAAAGCATAATTGGCGAAATTCCAGTGTTTGATCTTGTAGGAGGAGATCCGATCGAATTAATTAATAAATTTACCAGGGCTGCCACTTCATCTATCACTATTTCTGTTTCACTAACTAGCACCCTTGGAAGTAGGTCTAGTGATGTATACTCTTTACGACAAATAAGACGTGATATGAACCCAGATGTGCCCAATTGGGACGCTATTCCATCGCGAAAGGGAGTAGTTTTATATTATTTTATTCCTAAAACTATGGATGAAATTAAGGATCCGAGATGCTTCAGAAAAGAAAATCTCTTTTCTAAAAACTTCTCTTTCAAGATTGCACCGCAGCCATTTTCTGCTGGAGTTGAAAAGTATGCATATTTTGCCCTTAATACTAGAAGAAATCCACACAAAAGACTAGTGCTGAAAGAATATCTCAAAGACGGAAGGACAAATCCTTTTGAAAGGTATCTTGAGGCTGTAGAGATCTCTACTGTGGCAACCTATCTTTCTATAAGATTTAATGCAGTTGCAAGACAAAAAGTGAATTTCCTCAATGTGGAACTTATACGTGCTACTATTGACACAAAGACTCATTATTATATTTCAGAGCCGGAACTTCAAGATGCAACTTTTAAGCGATTCAATGTGAATAGTGGAGTGATCGTAGAATTTCGTCCTACTCTTGAGGCATTTGCCCATTTCACATATGAAACTACTGGAGGGTATTTGGTGGTTTATGATCTTCAAGGAATCGAACTTACTGATCGGTTCTTATTAACCGATTCAGCAATACATTGTACTGATATCCTAAGATTTGGAAAGACAAATTTAGGCAGAGATGGAATTAACAGGTGTTTCTTGAAAAATCACAAATGTAATGAGATTTGCAAGAGTTTAAGGTTAAGAAATATTGGATAAATTTATCAGGAATATTTTTTAAATTTAGTATTTTTAAGTTTTATAAAATGTACATATATATATATATACATATATCTATCTATCTATCTCTATTTACTTTTTTAAATTATAATTAAATTGTTGTTGTTATTATTATTATTATTATTATTATTATTATTATTATTGATTTATCGAATAATAATTCACCCCAGGCACCTATTCTTTTTATATCATTCATGCGAAAATTAAATTTAGGGCAGCCTATTGAGCCTATGTTATTTTGTACATCCCAAATTATTTGTACATTTATGCCAAATTACTTTGTACATCCCACGAGTCGAAATAATGTTCATTGATATTTGATATTATTAATTAATATTAATTTAGAATATTCGAAATTAATGTCAAATAAATTTATACATTCGGAAAGACGAATGCGGGGACAAAATGAAATTACCTAAATTTGAATAAAGTTTCAAAGAAATAGATAGGTAATAGCCGCCGATAAGGATCACTAAAATCCAAAAAAACACTAATTTCATGAATAGCTAGCAATTAACGTTTCAACAAAAACTATTAGAAGGATTTTGCATGCAGCATGAAATAAATGGATTTCTCATGTTCCTGCTGCAAATCCATGAACAACAAAGAACCACTCGATTAAATGGTGAGTCTTGAGACAGTTTTGGCGTAAAAATTTTGGTGATCTTTTTTTGGGTCAAAGTTTTAAAATTTTTTTTTTAATTTGCTAAATTTAACAAAAATGTTAGACAAGTAAATTTGCATGTATATATATAGAATAACATAGGTTACAAAATGATATTTGTGTTTTTGTGTGATTAGTGTGCACGACTTTTGTCTACGTAGTAGTGTATTTAATCTATTAATTTGGTATTATTTGATTTAAAATTCAATTATGGGATTCTGGAGTTTCGTTTGATGGGCAGTAATAGTAATATAGTAATAATTTGAATAATTTGAGAATTTTTAGAATTTTCCGGAGTTCTCGTTTAGCCCTTGAAATTTTGCATGTGTGGCGTTAATCAGGGCTGGCAGATTGTCAATTTAGTACCGATTTTCTCGAGTAAAAAATGGCAGTAGCTTGATGGGGTTACGCACGTAATTTTACTATATTAAAATGTTTGATGATGATGATGGATGACATAAATTAATCATAAAATCCCGAATGTTTTGTTTTTAAAACTTGAAGGCTAAAATTTATCCCATCAAAATAATTAATTAATATTGATATTGGCCAGCCAGAAAAAATATGCATAATGAACAATTTAAAATAACAGCTTTAGTTTAGTGTGGTGTGGTGACATTATAAGCATTGTCAAATCATGATTATTAACTATGAAGTTTTTCAACAATAATATTTAATCTAATTAATTTCTTTATATGGAAATTAATTGGGAGTTAGCTTCTAATTGTCACATGATATCGCTATGAGGTTATAATTTTTGCAGTTAGGCATTCATCATCATTATTGAAAAATATTAAATAAAACAACATGCATTTTTTTATTTATTTCTTTCGATACAAAAGGTTTATTATAATTTGCATGACTTTATATTTATTACATAAAAATTATTATTATTTATTGATTACAGTACATGTATATTATTTATATTACTCTATAAATAAATCACTTACACGAATTTCATATCATATAAAAAATCGAAAACTATATAAACTCGCAATTGACCATTTTAAATTGATTTTTCACTTTGCGTCGCTTTAAAAATAATTAAATATTGTTTTTTTTATTATTTTTTTATTCCGACAAAAAGGTATTATTTTTTTGAAACTATATTTTTAAATTTTTAACGTTTTCAGATTTTTATACGTATTGTTTTTTATTTCTACTATTATTATTATATTTTCTCAAACTGCTCTCAAACAAACTATTTTAAGTTTCAATTTTTCCAATTAATTCATTTTATTTTCATATTATTCTCTCACTAAGAAACTTCAAAATTCTGACAATTATTTGTTTTTATATAAATAATACAATTAAGCCTTAAGACTTTCTTCATTTTCTCTAAAATAAAAAATTATACATACAATCGTACTTTTTTTATTAAAAAAACTTACAAAAAAAAAAAAAAACCAACAATATTGTTTTTTTATCATTTGCAAAGGAAAAGATCAAAAAGAAGAATCAAAGAAACAAGAAATTTTTATTTATATTTATTAATAGTGAGTGGTGGTAAGTTTAATTTATTTATATTATATGTTACACAACCATTTTTATTTTTATTTTTTTTATTGTAGGTAGGTAGAAATTAAATAAACAATGAATGTTCTAAATTGAATTTTAAAAAAGTCTGCTTTTTATAATAATAATATTAATAATAATAATAATAGAGATTAGATTTTTATGTTAGTTGATTTATGATTTTGATGGATTGATTATGATTAGTTTGATTTATTGATTGGCCAAGATTTTTTTATTTTATTTTTATTTTATTTTTATCGCTAGTTTTTTTCTTATTCAAATGCACATATTTAACATATTTATATTATCATCATTTATATCATTGTCATAATACATTATAATTATAATTATAACCATTATAATTTACTTCTTTTTTCTCTTCCTTCCTTTTTACAATTAAGCTTACAAAAAAAATTTCAGTCCCTTGTTTCAATTATTTTTTTTTTTTTACACATACATTGTTATACATATACTATTAATTTATTCCATTATATATATCTTTTACATATATATATTTATACAAGATTATCATCATTTTAACAATATATATATATACTTATTTATTCTTTTTTTTTTGTTTTTTTTTAGTTGTTTGGTTTACGAGATTTATTTTATTATTATTTTTTTTTTAAAAAAAAAAAATAAAGTCACGATCACGACCACATCCAAAGAATGAGTTCAACTACTATTATCACGAATACTACTAAATCAACGACAACATATCATTCAACGACAACAAATTCATCGTCAACTCTCCAAAAAAATAATCAAGTTTCAACTGATGCCAAAAATTTAGGTTTACATTCTGGTGCTGCTGCTGGTAATCTTGGTAAGCGTCTTTTTATTATTTATTGTAGTGTATATTTTTGGTTTGACTTGTTAATTTTTGATTATATCTATATATATATATATTTTTTTCTTCTAATCTAGGCTTAGTAAAATTCGCTTTAGATCATGGTCAATCTATCGATTCTGCATTAAATGGCGTACTGCCTATTCACGCCGCTTGTATAAACGGCAATGCTAACGTAGTGCAGTATTTGATTGAACGTGGTGCAAACGTCAATTCTCCAAGGTATGATTATGATGAAAACACTTTATTAATTAATCAATCAATCAAATGTTTTTTTTAATGATAAGTTAAAATAAATAACGATCATTCATTTTAAAAATGTCACAATTAGACATCCACGTAAATTAAGTGGTGCAGATAAAACCAAATCGTCGTCGGGTTATTCAGTAGGGACAACTGGTTCAACCGCATTACATTTTGCCGCTGCAAATGGTTGCACGCAGACGGTTGAACTATTATTAAAAAATGGTGCTATGGTTGATGTGGCAGATAAATATGGTTCGACTCCTCTATCTGTTGCTATGGCAAAAAATCATAATGATGTTGTTGAATTATTAAAAACTTATGGTGCTTTGCAAGCTGTTGAAAGACAATCAAAGATGAATAATAATGGTGGTGATGTAAATAATAATAATGGAAATGGTAACTTAGTGAATATGTCTACAATATTCAATTCAATGAATGCCACCACAAATAATAATAATAGCACTAGTAGTGGCGGTTATAGTAATAGTACTAGTAACAATAATAATAACAATAACAATGTTAAATCAAAAAGATCAAAAGACAAGGCTTCAAAATTTAAAAAAATAAAAATGCCAACATTGAGTAGCAGTAGTAATCATACGACTGCTGTTGTTGTAAATAACAATACTAACAATACTATTGTTATTGATTCCGCCACTTCTACTGCTACAAACAATAACGCTTCTAATAATAATAGTAATGGCAATGCCTCTTCATCTAAAGATTTTACTGCATTTATTCATTATTTGTCAAAACGTAGACCAAGTTTACCTGCTGAACTTGAGAAATCTGAAATGAATACATCATCGTCGACGTCATCGACGTCGTTGTCAGCATCAAATATTGGCAATAACAAATCGCAAAAATCAAAACCTTCAAAATCTTCAAAAATAAAATCAACGATTATAGGTACAAATAAATCTAAAAGTCCTAAAAATAATCCTAGCAGCTCTAGTAACAACAGTCCTAATAATAACAATGTGTTAGAATTATCACCACAAATACCACAAATTGTGACGGAGCGTCAACACTCAAGATCATTGGAATTGCCACAACTTCATTCAAAATCACTGGAAGAAATACTCAACAACAAATTTACCAGTAAAAAAGTTGATGAAATAATGATAATTGATTTATCTGATAAACCACCATCATCGTCTATTTATCTGTCATCATCTTACGATGATGAATCAACAACTTCACCTGACACTGGTATAAAAAAACACAAATCACCAACAAAAGAATTGTTTCGTAAAAGTTTAAATTTGACTCGTCATTTTGCCAATACCGCTACTACTACTACTTCATCAACAACAATATCGTCGGTTTCAAACAGTAATTCCTTGACCATGATAAATCATAATAATAACGGCCATGTAGTTATTAATAATGAGGTTAATAATAATAATGGTGGTGGTAGTAGTAGATCGCCAGATAGAAGGTCAACCAGATTTTCATTTTCATCATCAACCACTCCACAATCAAATTCTTCATCTATCAACTCTTTGTTGATGGCCACATCACCTGAACTTACAGCATTTTCCTCGGGTGTTGGTAGTGGTATTATAATAGTTGGTAGCAGCAGTAGCAGTAATAGTAATGGCATTAACAACTTGGCTATAGTAAGTGAAAATAATAGCAGTAGTACGAGTATGGAATTATTAACGGAAGATTCCTCTTCATCTTACACCACAACAGCCCTGCCACCACCTCCTATTGTTATTCCTGAGAAAAAGAAACGTCGTTCGACCGATCCTCTTTTTGATTTCAAAACTAAAAAACAATGGTCAAAAGATGATAATCATCTTACTATCAGTCAAAACCCGGCTGCTTCTGCTTCATCCGATTCACTAAATCGTATTATGAAAAGATCAATGTCTGAAAGTGGCGCTGCTGGCGGTTTTGGCGGTTTTGGCATTATGGGTTTTGGTAGCCACAGTACCAGTGATCTTAGTTCCATCGATAATGCTCACAATATGAATGTTGGTACTAGTGGGAATTCTGGCACAATTAAACCTTTATTCATTTCAAGTAAAAAGAATAATAATCAAAAGAATTTCTGGGCATTAAAAATTAGTGGTAGTGATAAAGAATCTTCCAAAAGTATGCTTGGTAGATTTACTGAATTTGTTATGGGAAAAAATTAAGATTAAAAAGTTTTTTTTCTTGTTATATATACACACACACACACGCACACGCACGTTCAACACATATACACGCACGCACGCACGCACACACGCATATATATATATATATATATATATACATGTATATATTCCTTTTTTTCATTTTTATATATTTCTTGTAAATTATTTTTTTTTCCTTTTTACATTTTCTTGTTAAATAGTTGATTAAAAAAATTAACAAAGAAAAACAAATTCTTTTATTATTTTTTTTTTAAAAACATATTGGAAAATTTCATATTCACACATTTTTTATATACACACACAATATATTATTCATCATATCTATCACACATTTTTATATTTTTTTTTTGTTACATATTTTGAGGGTTTCTTATTTTTGTGTGTGTATATATATATAATATATATACATATATATAAATATAGAAAGAGTTTTAAAACAGCATACCTTTTATATGTAAAAATACAAATATAAATATTATATATATATATATTCATTGTATTCATCTATTATTACACTACACAACTACTCACGAACATTTATATCTGCATATTTTCACAAGTATCATTTATTATTTGGTTAAGAATTGAAAAAAAAAGGATGAATGGAGAAAATCTAATGCATATACATTGAAAGCGGTCACAGAGAAAGAAAGAATTTAGTTTGTTGTATAACTTTGGATGATTTTAGGTGATTAGTAGTTGGTTTGATCATGTCAGATATTATTATCAATAGTTTTTTTGATTTTTTTCTTTGCATATTTTGTTTTTTTTTTTTTTTTGGTTTTTTTATAAATCAAAATTTTTTGTAAATATTATATTGTTCAAAAAATCTTTTTTATTTTTTATTTCTTCTGTTTCTATGTATCATTTTTTTTTTCTATTTTTTTAACTCTTTATCTATACACAAATACATTGTATGTATTTGTATTGTATACAGATAGATAAGAGTTTATATGATGGTATTTTCTCTATTCGTTGTTTTTGTTCTATATATAACACTATGTATACATAGTTGGTTGGGCTTGATTATTTTGTCAACAATTTTTAGGTATTGCATGTATTTTTTTTTGTAGTTATATATATATATATTTATATATACACTCACATATATATATATATAAAAGTTTCAATTAAATAAAAAAAAAATATATGAAAAGATGAAAACAAAACAAATTACAATCAATGATTTATTTTATTTGAGGTTTAAAAAGTAGGCTTTGGAATGGATCATAGTCAATAATACCCAAAAAGAGTATAATTTTATTTGATCTACATCAAGTAGTAGATTTAGGCTTTAGATAGGTTGATCATAGTCAATAATATAAAGGAGTATATATATATATATTACTTCGTTCACATTCATTCATTCATCAATCAACCAAGATCAAAGCAAACGAAAAAATTTTTTGTCGTATAATAAATTTATACATTTATAAAATTTTTAAAAAAATGTGCAATATATATTATATATAAAAAAAAAAGGAATCCAAATATATATATATATTATATATATAAAAAATTTTTTTTTTTTTAAATGAAAATAAAAAAATTTTTTTTATTAATATAATAATAAATATAAATTATTATATAAACATATTAAAAAAAAGCACAAATTTATTTTTTTTAAAAAAAATGATTAATGAGTAGTAAAAAAAAAATAAATTCATTATATATATATATGTGTGTGTATTCTTTTCTTTTTTTGATTTTTTGATTTTGGTTGATGAAATTTGTTGGTTGTTTTATTAATTTATCTATTTTTTGCTAGCTTTAACTGCTGCTTTAGTTGTCTTGCCGGATTTTTCAACTTTTTCAACACTCTATTTTAACAGAATAAGAAATATTAATAAGGATTTCCTTACATTGTGATTATCATCATCGTCGTCATTATTATTATTAATTTAAAAAATTTTTTTTTTACCTTAATGACACCGACAGCAACCGTCTGTCTCATATCTCTTACGGCAAAACGTCCTAGAGGTGGATAATCAACAAAAGCTTCGACACACATTGGTTTAGAAGGAATCATTTTAACGATAGCAGCGTCACCAGATTTAACGAATTTTGGATTATCTTCGAGTTTTTTTCCGGAACGACGATCAATTTTTTCTTGTAATTCGGCGAATTTACAAGCAATATGAGCAGTATGACAATCCAATACTGGAGCATAACCGGCACCAATTTGTCCAGGATGATTTAAAACAATGACTTGAGCTTGGAATGAACCGGCTTCTTTTGCAGGATCGTTTTTAGAGTCGGAACAGACATAACCTCTACGAATTTCTTTGACTGACACGTTCTTGACATTGAAACCAACATTGTCACCGGGAACACCTTCGACTAATTGTTCGTGATGCATTTCAACTGACTTAACTTCAGTGGTTAAACCTACTGGGGCAAAAGTTACGACCATACCGGCTTTGATGATACCAGTTTCGACACGACCTACTGGAACGGTACCAATACCACCAATTTTGTAGACGTCTTGAAGTGGAAGACGGAGAGGTTTATCGGTAGGTCTTGATGGAGGTTCGATGGAATCAATAGCTTCCAAAAGTGTTTTTCCTTTAGCGCTTCCGCCCTTGATATCTTTTTGCCATCCTTTGAACCATCCCATATTTGGAGACTCTTCCAACATATTGTCACCGTGCCATCCGGATATAGGAACGAAAGCAACAGTCTTGGGGTTATAACCTACACGTTTGATGAAACCGGAAACTTCTTTAACAATTTCGTTGAATCTCTCCTCGGACCAGTTGGTTGTGTCCATTTTGTTTACAGCGACGATGAGTTGTTTAACACCAAGAGTGTAAGCCAAAAGAGCATGTTCACGGGTTTGTCCATCTTTTGAAATACCGGCTTCGAATTCACCAGTACCGGCAGCAATGATCAAAATAGCACAATCAGCCTATTGTCATCATAGATGTATTATAAGTGAATGTGAAGATGGTAGTGGTAAATGTAGAGAAAGGTAGAGGTAGGTGGATGTGTGTAAAAGTGGGATAAAGGTGTAGTAGTATGTGTGTTAAATTAATATTGATGTCGATGTATTATGTTTTATATACATGTGTTTGTATGTTTTATATTGATTGATACGAATTTAATTTGAATCATTTTTTACCTGAGATGTACCAGTTATCATGTTCTTGATGAAATCACGATGTCCTGGGGCGTCAATGACAGTAACATAGTATTTTGGGGTTTCAAATTTCCAAAGAGCAATATCAATAGTAATACCACGTTCACGTTCAGCTTTTAATTTGTCCAATACCCAGGCATATTTGAATGAACCTTTTCCAAGTTCAGCTGCTTCTTTTCTATTTTATTTTTTTTAATCAATTAATAATAATAATATTATTAATATAATTATAACAATGAAATTATAAGAGAAGTGATGGTAGTAATAATAACAAAAATAACACACTGTTATTTATCAATATAAATTACTTACTCAAATTTTTCTATCGTACGTTTATCAATACCCTATTATTTGATTTACAAAAAAAAAAAAAAAAAAAACAATAAGAAAAAGTGATTAATCATTTATTGTTTGTTTGTTCATTTGTTAATCCATTGTCCGCAATAAAAATGTGTACATGTATGAAAAAGTGAAGATAAATACTTACACCACATTTGTAAATAAGATGACCAGTGGTTGTTGACTTTCCTGAATCCACGTGCCCAATAACAACGACATTAATATGTGTTTTTTCTTTACCCATTTTAATTTTATATATTTTTTATTTTTTGTATTTCGTTTTACTGTAAAGAAAGAAAAGAAGGAATTGTTAGTGTTAAACATTCATATTATAAAACAATAACATTGATAATAGTAATAGTAATATTCAATTATTTATTGTTCAACAAGTATGTTACTATAAAGAAACTCTTTAAAAGATAAAATACTTTATGTCTCTTTGAATACTAAAGGTCTAAAAAATAAATTAGAAAAAATTCTTTACTGCGGCTAAATTATAAAAAAAGATTTTTTTCACTTTAAAGATAAAAAAGATTTACAGATATAGATATTTAAAAATTATATTGATGGTGATGGATGATATATAATTAATATTTTTTAAAAGATAAGAGATGGATGGAAATAACAATATATATATATATACTTGTATATATTATATGTAAATAAAAAGAATAATAATACTTACACTATAGCGTAAAAAATAAATAAAACGTAAAGGAGGATTCGTTACCAAAAAAAAAAAAAGAAAAAAATTTTGAGTGAAAAGAAAAGGAGGAGGAAAAAAAAAATCTAGTTTTTATCCCTAATTAAATAGCAATGTTAATTTTCCAATTAGGGTTGTTTTTTTTTTGGTATGTACCCAAAAAAAAAAAAAAAGATTTTTGAAATTTGATACGATAAAAAATTTCTTTATTAATAATAATAAATAATATTAAGATCTAGGATCATTTGTCAGATCCAAATAAAATATATATAGTATCATAATAATACATAATAATTGCAATTCAAGTTGACAATAATCATCATTGATATCATCAAATGGTAATTAATATATTAATATTGCATGTGAATTAGGGTTATATGTTTGGGAGACATCTAATTCAGAGGAAATGAAATTTTTTAGTGAACAATCAATTCAGACAATCAATTATGTCCTATCATTATTTACTATTTGACAAATTTTGACTCATCATCATCAATTGATGATATTCTCTCTCTCATATTCATCATTTCGTTTCATTTTAATTTAATTTAATTTAATTTAATTTAATTTAAATTTGTTTATTTACTTTTTTTAATTCTGCGGTGTATGACATCCAATTTCAGGGTCATGAATTGAAATAGGGTTTAAATGGAAAAATTATTATTTTGTGTGACGCAATAAAAAGGGTTTGTTTGATTTTATATATTATAATTGAAACTTTCTTATTGTGCCACTTTATTTTTAGGACGGAGTTTCTTTTTAAAAAAAAGGATTTTGCATTGTTTGATGTTGACAAAAGCCACACCAATCAATTTTAAT